ATCTATGGTAATTTATGGTATAATATATAAAGCAAGTTGCAGTAGTAGTCAAAGAGGAAGGTTAAATAAGCATATTTTCAAATCATTTTGTCAAATCTTCTCTTGAAATCCGCGATGCAAAAACAGATTTTGACTCATTTGACCATCCAGTCAGCTAATAAAGTCGGTTTTTACCATGTTTTCTCGCACAGCTTACATTTTTTTTAAATCTTACCTGTTCGTCTTGCATTCGGACTTCAACTGCAGACCGTTGTAACTTCAAATTTCTTCCTCAACTGAGCTTGTGATTGTTTTACACCAGTCCGTCTTTTCAAGATGTTAGTGTAAGACTGTCTAAGCAGTGCAAATGCTCACCAACTTATATTGGTGGGGCTAAGGAATGAAATTTACAAACAGGACGTTCAATTGCCATACAAAAGCCTGGTGATATTGGCTTGGGAGTGAATTGTCAACGCCCACTAGCTGTGGTTACCCAAAAAGATAAAAATACATATTGATATAATAGATAAATGCAAATTTACATTATCATTGATAATTCTCGAAGTGTGAATTGTGAGTGCTATCAAACCTATACCGTATATACCTATATATAGATATGAATATAAAAAAAAGTGTAATGAAGTCTATAGGAATACAAACCAATTTCCGGTGTGCCTACAATGACACAATTTTATTACCTCTAGAATATATACAAACAATGGATATTGTTGATCTTCCTGCATGGTTACGACTTCTAGTGCAGTCTAAAACTGTTTATGTCAAACTTATTCATATGACCTTGAAAAACCTGTGAAACTGTTCATTGCTTATATTCATGCCATTCTGTGAAAAAATATTCCGTCAAATCATGAAATGGTATATTCGAATGAAATGTTTAGTATATTTCAAACGTTAGCGCATAGCAGTCAAGGGGGTCGTTTGAGGAGGATTTAATACTCTTGTGAATCAATGCCGTGCGATAGCTGTGTGATAAGCGAATTTGTTTTAATGCATGAATAAAATATTAATTTTATTCCCGCTGTTTTAAAACATACACACGAAAAGAGTGCAAATTAAGCTGAACATTTTTAAAATGAACAATAAATACCAGCTATATATGACTAAGGCTTATATATAATTTTTATATCAAACATACCTATAATGTTAATGCAGTGATAGTTGTGCAGCCATAAAGTAGAATGTGCAGTGATAAAATGAGAAATGTGCAGTGCCGGATAAATGGTATTTTCTTAAAAGACCTCACTTTCCTTAGATAGATTCGGACAACTTTTATAGGTATTATAACCCCCCCCCCCCCAACTATATTATTGTGATGAGATGTGTAAAAAAAGTGCAGAAAAAAAATTCTTCAAATTAGCTTTGATATAAAATAAGGGAACTCAGTCTGGTATAATGGGCTATAGTCTTACAGTACATTACATGCATATCTCAAATATATATTTTCTCATTGAAGGAGGAGAACTCGTAAGCGGCGAGATATATTGGCTTTGCATGGTGTACCCAATATCAGCCAAAATCGTTTGCCGAAGACACTAGTAAATGAATTTGGGTAACGGCTTTGATTGGCGTAGATTTGATGATATGACTGATAGCTAACTGATATAGTAAATAAAAAATATGTCATTTTTTTCACGCAGAAAAATCGGCTGTAAAATAATATGTAAATTTAAATAACTATAAATTAGAGTAATGCGACTTTCCAAAATACTGATCGTAAACAAAATCAACGAGGTGTTCACCACAGTAAACGAGATCAAATAAACAGGGCAAAGATATTTGTGACAAATCTCTCGCAGCAAAGATCGAATATTATAGTTGCTCATGCAATTTGGTCGCTTTAATGGTGCAAAATAATTTATGGTACATACGGCGAATAAATTTGGTGCAAGAGATGCTGAGTTATATATATATAGCCAGAATATTTAATTTTCTTAAGCATTTTTTCCCATTTTAACCCAACTCTCTCCATTCCCTTGCATGCATGGGAGCTAACAGATATGGACAAATGTGCTTGTGTTCCCAAACACAATAACAAGAAGTCTGAAGAAGAAATCGATTCTAATATCGATGCACATGCAATGAAGACTTGTACAAACTGTCCGCTTCAATGCAGGAACCCCTTTAATAGACAATTCCATAAAACATGCATAAAGGAATACGAAAACATAAAAAAGTCTTCTGTATCATTTTTAGTATATAGAATATAGTTTCTCCCTGCTCAACAATCACTTTCCGTCCAAGTGTAAGTGCTGCTTGTCCATATATACAAAGTTACTTTCAACTTTTCCTCATAGCTTCAGTATTGAACTGCGAAAATTGATATCGTAACATTAAGCGAAAGCGCTATTGTGCACGTGAGACAAGATTTTTTGTTTCATGAGCAACAAATTTATTCGTTTATTAGAGAGACGTTTGAAATAGTATGACTGTACAAGCAGCTCTTGCAACGACTACGTTAGACTTTTGACATATTCGAGAGGGTTTCTCAAGTACGAAATGGTATTAACAGACCTTTAGGACGGATATATTGAATCTAATGATTTCCTTCTTATATGCAGTATCAAATAATGAGCAGTTATTTAACTTCCCAATGCAATGATAAAAGTAAAATAAAAATTAGGCCTACTTCATATGTCGCATTTTTGGTCGCAGTATCATAATAAGAAGATAATGAGGCTAAATTAGGTTTACCATCGCATTATCTATTGTTTGCAATCGACGCGCCCAAAATGCAACGTATCAACTCAACTAGTCAACTGGGAATTATTAAGTTTGCGTTTTTTTAAAAATCATGTACAACTATAGGTTTATGAAAGAAAAACAACCCCTTAGAGTTCTAAAATTAGTAATGTTAAAATTAGTAATGTTGTTAAGCACAATGGATTTTAGGTCTCTATAGGAATTTAGAATTGTTCTACGCGTACAGTTAAGGTGCTAATAGTTTAAAACAACCTTTGTTTACCCGACTTTATTCGGTGTGTTGCACCAAATTTTTTTAATGCATGTGTGTGTTTCTTTACACACCCTCATGTGCAAAAGAAAAGAGGTGCGAAAAGTTTGTGTCTTCGCTAACACACGAAGGTGTGTTTTCATACACGTCAAGGAGTGTTTTCGAAAAGTGCTTAGTAAGGCGTGCTCAATTTTTGAACAATAAATAAAATAATGATAGTGTGTCTCCCCGCTCGACCATCACTTCACCCAGGAGTAGTAGCATGTTGCCTACAAATTTACTATCAACTTTCCATAAAAGATTTGAGTATTGAACTGCGAAATTTGATATCGTGACAAGCGAAAGTGCTGTTGTGCATATGAGACAAGTTATTAGTTTCATGAGACGGACAGACGTTTGAAATAGTGTAAAGAGCTCTTTCAACGACTACAAGAGACTTTCGACATTTTCGAGAGGGTGTCTCAAGTACGAAATGGAATTAACAGACCGTTACGAAGATTAAATTGAATTTAATGATTTTATTCATATATGCAGTATCAAATAAAGAGCAGTAATTTAACTTCCTAATGCAATGATAAAAGTAAAATAAAAATTAGGCCTATTTCATGGGTCGCATTTTTGTCGCAGTATCATAATGAGAAGATAATGAGGCTAAATTAGGTTTACCATCGCCTTATCTATTGTTTGAAATCGACGCGGCCAAAATGCAACGTTCAACTCAACTAGTCAACTGGGAATTATTAATTTTAAGTTTTTATTACAAACCCTGTATAAGGTTTATATGAGAAAAGCAACCACCTAAAAATCTGAAATTAGTAATGTTGTTAGGCACAATGGATTTTAGGTCTCTAGGACTTTAAAATGGTTCTAGGCGTGCAGTGCTATCAAACCTATACGGTACGAACCTATATATATATAAATATAAAAAAACGCGTAAAGAAGTCTATAGGAATACAAACCAATTTCCGGTGTGCCTTCAATGACACAGTTTTATTACCTCAAGAATATATACAAACAATGGATATTGTTGATCTTCCTGGTTACGACTTCTAGTGCAGTCCAAAACTTCAGTTTATGTCAAACTTATTCATATGACCTTGAAAAACCTGCAAAACTGTTCACTGCTAATATTCATGCCATTCTGTGAAAAAATATTCCGACAAATCATGAAATGGTATATTCGAATGGAATGTTCAACACATTTCAAACGTTAGTGAATGGCAGTCAAGGAGGTCGTTTGAGGAGAATTTAATACTCTTGTGAAATCATGCAGATTTTATTTCGACTGGGCTGAATGCCGTGCGATAGCTGTGTGATAAGCGAATATGTCAAAAGCATAAATAAAATATTAATTTTATTCCCCCTGTTTTAAAACATGCACACGAAAAGTGTGCAAATTAAACTGAACAATTTTAAAATGAACAATAAATACCAGCTATATATGACTAAGGCCTATATATATGATTTATATATCAAACATATACCTATAATGTTAATGCAGTGATAGTTGTGCAGCCATAAAAGTAGAATGTGCAGCGATAAAATGAGAAATGCAAAATTTGAGGGGTAAAATTTACCCAAAATTGGGGTAAAATTTACTCTCGTCTGGGTAGTAATTTAGGTGAGGGTAATTTTTACCCTTGCATTTAAGAGTAAGTTTTTGCCTTGATGTACCAGCGTACACCCTTTAGTGGGGTAAGTTGAAACAACCCCTACGTCGAGAGTAAAAAGCCTGAAGGGAGAAAATTACCCCTAGGAATTGGGGTAAATAGCGAGCAAAAATTTTCAAAATGGCGGATGTTTGTTACGGGACTTTCGAGTTTACGGCCAGTGCTTACGACACAGATGAGAATATATCTCATTTGTGCTTTACAGCTATGGTTACGATTTACGAAACACAAACAGTCATTTGCAAGTCTGGTGCATAGAAGAGACATTTTTTTTTACATTAGCGAAATTACGAAGAGAATGGTCCAATTAATATCGGCCAACGGCCAAAGAATACTATAAAAACTGTTGTTTTTAAACTTGTCTTGATAGCTTTCACAGAATCGCGGACTTAACAGATATAAATATATATATTATATAGGTAAGTAATTATAGAGATTTTAATGCATCTGTCGTGAATTAACGAATCCCTAACTAAACAGATTTATTTACAATATAATGGCAAGACATACCATTAATACCAATAAGTATTGTATACAAACACTGAAACACACACACTATATACACTATATGAATTGATATGTCAGCTTCATTTGACTCGCATTCTAAGCATTTGGTGGGATTTGGTACTTTGGGCAGACAAAGACTTTTACTTGATCTTCTAGGGTAATGTGTATTAGGTGTAAGGGAAAGCCATATATGAGATCTTCTTGTTTTTGAAGAACTAATTCTTGACTGAGTTGTACTTCTACTTCGTAAGCATTAAAGTGGGGATTATACGAACTTGTCAAGAGTTGCTCAGTCACCAACCAAGCATTTCTCAAATTTTCCTCAGCAATGCATATTTCTTTCACAATTGCAAAAATGGGCATCTCTTCTTCATCATGTCCAGTCCAAATGACACATCCTTTTTTGTATATGGTTCCATGAACTGAAATCCATTTTGGTCTAAATAAGAAATTCAGTCTTACTTGCTGTATTATACTATAAGCTTTATCAATTTTTCAGCTATATGTCAGCTATCTATGTCAGCCATATACCTTCTAACATTTGTTGCATGTTCTAATTGTTCTTGTGCCTGTTTCAGGGTATTGTAATATAACAGATCCCCAGCTGAAACTGTGTCGCCTTTGAAAAAATAATAAGATTCCATATGAACATATTAGTCACAGATACATCATACCTGTGAAGGTAACTTTTATTTTTGAATATTACAAATTTGAAGTGAATTGCAGTACAAAAGCTAAGTGACTATTCAATAAGCACTCTATGTATTTCATCAATATTGTTTATGGGCTTGCTTATGATGAGCTAGGCCACCTAGCTGCTTTTGAATTGTTTTTAAGATTTGATTTATGTGGTTTGCCAGCCTGTTTGGCAAAATGAACTGAACTAAAAATTGTCTTCGTAATTAACACACTATATTCAATGTAGGAAGCATCTAAAAGTTCATTTGCAGCATCTTAGCTGCCTCAGCTCACATGAAAGAACTACTACTGGGGTCTCTCAAATGTGTAGCCCTGTTTAACAGGCCAACCCAGCTAATATCAACAGCCTGTCTATTTGCCTATTGTTTGTTTTTTACAGTTTCCTGCTGTGTAATTGGTATCAAACAATGAATAAATTTAACTGTCAATACTACAGTATGTACCTGGTCCAATTTCTATACCCTTTTCAAGAAATGAGGATTCATAGTTTCCAGAAGAGTTCAGCTTATAAGAGATCCATTGTTGGTGGCGCATTGCTAAAGTGTATGGCAGGTTGGTGAAGTTGCCAATTATTGTGCTCAGTTTCTTAAAATAGTGGTGTTTAGCCTCATATCTCATACACCAAGATCGAGCAAGTGGTCCGAGACTGTAAGAGTAGACAATAACAAACATTAATCTATAATACTCAGTCATATATGTGTCTTTTTAGCACAGAACTTAGACCTCCAAATGTTGAATTTATATTTGCATGCTACAATTGCAAGATATTTTTTATATTCTCAAGATATATATTGATTGATTGAATTGGTGTTTGATGACACATTATTGCATTAAAAATGAATTGCAATGTGTTTACAAAGTATTACAAATTACTTATTTACATAGGTGTTATATATATATATATATATATATATATATATATATATATATATATATATATAATTATATATATATATATATATATGTGAGATTTTCCGAAGATGAAGCATCATCTACAAATTTCCACATTTTTGTATTTGGGAAATTCACTCTAAGATCATTAATCATAATGCGGAATAGTATTAGGCCAAGTTTGGTTCCTTGGGGGACTCCAGCCGTTACGAGGAGCCATCTAATCTTACGAGGAGCCAACTAATTCACCAATCTTAACCCGTCGTCTTCGATCACAAAAGTATATTGCAGTCTCATTTATGATGTAGAAGATTCTCTAAACCTCATCATTAAACTATACCGGAGGGGTCGGTTGTTCTTATTCTTTTGATTTTGTTTGACAGAGATTAATTTTTATCTGCAACAACTGGCAAAAGAAATATTTTTTTTTCATAGAGAATGTATGAAGTGTTGCACAAACCTCAACATAACACTCGGCATATGGATCATAAAGTGCATTTTCGGGATGATGGAACTCTCCGGGTAGAGGTGACAAAACTCACTATGGTGTTCTTCAATGAGTACTTGAAGGTATGCAATTTGTTCTTGCGATACCACAGGTGAAAGGCAGATAGCTGTTATTTCCAGCAGTTTAAGAAAAAGCTTCCACTTGGTATTTTCTGGGGAAATCAAATTACCAATGATCTGTGGTAGATGGATAGCTAAACACCACATCTGAACAGCTGTAAAGGAGATGGTACACTTACAGTATTGAGTTGTTTTGATGCTTACCTGTTACATTGTAAATATTTTATAAGAAGTTCATCTTCACGGTAGAACGGCTTTGCAATTATTAGAATTATGTGTTTGTAACGCAGTATGTATCATAAAGTCCTATAGTGAATTATATTCTGAACGTGAACATACAATTACACCAAATTTTGCCTAGTCATTTCCTACATGTTATATTTGTATGTAGCAGATGATGATGTATATACTAGCGGTAATGCAATAAAGACTGGTAAAATAGTGTCCGTTGTAAAAATACTGAGAAAATACTATATATATTTTCTGGCTAAATTACACGGTATGCACTTTTTGACTTACCGTGTTGTTTTAGGCTGTGATCATTTGACGACAGTTTTTGTTCCGTTATAGGTGATGGCTTGTTTTTGTCATTATAGTAGCCGAAGTCAAATTTTGCTATTCTGCCATTTAAATCTTCTAATGTCAAAATAGCTTGAACTTTGATGAATTCCTTCAACATTTCCTTCATTTTATAATGCAGAGTGCCTTCTAGTATGTCGTGCATTACATCTGTTGGGAGGCCTCCAACCACGTTGAAAAACCTGCTGTCGTTAAGTACAGATCTTCTATTGATTCCATAGGCTTTACTGAAGTATTCACCATATGTTGAAATTTGAGCGCAATGATCCTCGTACGATTGTGGTGTTCTCAAGGTAAAATATTTCTCATGAAACTATAAGAAAGAAAACTTTAGGCTTTAATGATATTCCTTGCCTTGTACAATTGACGATCATTTGATGAGGTTGAGCATGATACCAGACTGAAGTCCATGTTATCTGTGCAGGCCTTTGCTAAGGAGAATAGTATTGGCTAAACAATGCCAATGGATAATACCTGACATCATGCAATAGCCGAAATCAATGATAATTTATTACACATTTTTAATGGGAGAGATTTTAGGAATTTACGCATTTGAAATGTTACCTACTGACAATACTACAAAAAATCGAGATTGCATCAAGACTGTATAATAGAATGTATTAATTGCAAACCTTCGATTTGATCTCTTCTTGAAGGCCTAGGCAGTGACGACACATACAATGGGCTGAGCAACCTTCTTTGAAGCCTCCAAGTGACTGTGATCCAGGATTATCTGCAGACGCGTATGCTATTGTGCCTCGAAATCTTTTTTCAGTACCCTTTATTGAGAACGGATAGCCTTCATCCTGAAGTAAATTTGGATTTTTAAAATATATGTCATTGTCTCATAGAAAAAGTTCTCATTGTCTCATCAAAATTCTAGAAAAAGTTAACATTTACAAATTGCATGTGCGGCAGCAATAGCTCGAAACATCTTAAAACTGTATCTTTTGAGAAGAGATCATCATGTATAAACTTTGAAAAACTATACCTGTTCCAGTTTTTGTAAGTCTGTAATAAACGGTCGTAGGACCTCGTTCATCCCATATTTCTTGATCATTGCCGTTTTGCACAAACAAAGCAATTGAATGGCTTTTATTGAAGACCGGTATGTAGGTCTGATGTTTCCAAGAGTATAGTAAAAAGCTCCTAAAATCGTAGTCATAGATTTTAGATGATTACCTCTAACTTAAAGATGCAATGAATCATTAAAAATATAATATAATATGTTCTAATTAAATTTCTTCTTGTTACCAAGTTTATGCTTTGTGGCTCTTGATCCAAGTGGGTTACACGTCTCCAAGTCATCGTAGTACAACATTATTTGAAGTGCCTTTTCGTCAACTGAGAACAATGGATGGTTTCGGAACTGTTCTCCATCGCAGTAATCTCTTAATAGTCCATCAGTGCTCAGATGAGGATTTTCGACCTTAAAAAGGAAACGTTTGTAAGATCTTAAGGAAACGATACCGGTGAAAGATTTTCATTTCTGGAGTGCGTTATACAGGAAACAACCTAAGCATTAATATGCATTGCCAATTAAAATTTTTTTATATAACCTCCTCCAGCACAAATTCGTCATTCAAAAGCTGCTCCAAACTGTCGAAAATGGAAACGTAGTATATCTCATCATTTGACTGAGTTTGTTGGAGAATTCCTTTACGCCTTCTGAACACTTGTTTTTGGCCAAGACAAATTCTTTTCGGTTCCTATAGTATAATAAAAACAGTAATGATATCACATTTTTGCTGAGACAGCAATTTATTTTTACGTCTTCTAATCACACGTTTGCAGCTATAAGAGACAGGAGGAAAAAATCCGCTAATTTTTTATGCTCGTTCACATCTAACAATATTTTTTGTTTTATAAGCATTTCAACCCTTTACTACATAATGACCCCTGAACAATGTCCCTTACATAATGTCCCCTGTATTTTACAGGGGCTAACGCAAGATGATTTTACTCATCAATGATAGACCTGATATATATGTGCTAATTAATATAAGCCTAATTGCTAATAATAGGCTTCATCGTAATTTTAGTCCTAACAATCCCCCAAAAAAATTGAGATGAGACGTCATAGTATGGCACATGTGCCAGGAAGCATTTAGTCGTATTATTTCTATTGATAGTAAAATTGACGTTAAATCCAATTTACAATTGACTGAGAGATGAAAGTATTCCTGTAAAAAACGACGGAATTACTCAAACGTTTCGAGAACAAGAAATAAAGAAAATGATAATTCAGTATGTTGGAGCTCTGGTTTCTGATTAGCTTATCTTGTACTCAGATTAGCTGGATGTTGCTAATAGATATAGGGCATATCCTAATCCTAACGTCACTAAAAGTTAATCTCAGTCAAAAAATAATTCCAGTCAAATGAACCGCCATCCCCGGCCAAGTTCTCCCACCTTTTTTTCGAAGAGGCTTGACGTAAAAAATGGAGAGAACGTTTTGAGAAACAATTCTTACCTTCAGGTTAAAATTCTCTCGGTAATAAGTCAGCTGTTGTGCTTCCGTCTCGAGTTTATTAAAGGGCTGTAATGCGGCATTGTCCTCTTCGAAAATCTCTTTCATACCAGGAATACTGTGAAAATCCACATCGTTTTCTTGGAGGCTCTTTTCCACTTGAGTCTTTACTACAGATATCGCTTCCTGGACAACACTCGTTGTATTAGCGAGGACACTTTGAACCGTCGACTTTGGTAGACAGCACTCCTCCTGAAGTTTTAGTATATACAGAGCGCTGCTCCTCATTAACCTGTCTTTGTAAATATCTTCGTCATTATTGTCTTCATGAGCACCTGGAATATTTACGCTGGGCTCACATTCATTTGCAGGACAAGATGCATTTCCTGGATTGTCGTTGACATTCATGTGTTTTTGGTGTATGTGTTTTCTCCACGAATAATATTTTTTGAAGGTTTTCGAGCACCCATTTATGCCACAAATACAGTGGAAATTGGGGTCATTCCGATGGCATCGGCCAATATGGTTTAACAATTGATTAATATCATCTGCAGCAAAAACTGCACATATGCAACAATTCCATGGCATTTCGATTTTTGTTTTTAACAGTGAAAGAAACAAAATTTGTCTCTGAAAAGGACAAGATACCTTTTAATCCAATCAGTAACGTCGTTGTATTTTTCCACCAATAGGAGGTGGCGAAATATAATCTACTTGGTAGCCTGGCGCAAAAAAATTGCCTTCGCTAAACTGTTGTACTTTGTACTTGTTTCTTTCGGCATCCCAACGTCCGTGAATCGAAACAACAGCGCTAGCTTTGAGGCAGTTTTTAACTAAATCAAATTATAGATAACAGGAGATTGTTACTAAAAGCTGTTTACAGTATAACTGTGGTTATATATGGAGAAGCGTTTGAAAACTCATTTGAAAAATGAAGGGATTCGCGAAGACACAATCAACATTTTGGAAGCCCAACACATGGCGAGAAATTTTGGACACGCACGCGCGGTAGATACACAGACTTCAGGAGATTCGAAACAATATGGCCACGCGAAATCACACGGCTTTATTAGGGTTATATTAAAAATGTGGCCTTACCTCTAAACTTTTTAAAAATGTGAAAATGTTCTATCTGATTCTGTTTTTAGACGTAAAACTTGATATTTTGATATCATGGATGATATTTAGATGTAAATACTTCTTGCGGTTTTGCAGGAAATAGCCAACGGCTATTAAAGTATAGAAAAACACCATTTATAGCGTCGAAAGTTGTTTTGACCGTTGAACTTGTAAGATTTTCGCGCGATCGGGCCACGATAACCAAAATGTTCTATCGGTTTTCTAAACTCCGAGCGATGATTTTGAACACCCATCAGTGCAAAAATGTGAAGAATATATATCTCTTGCGGTTTTTAGCTTCAAAATCAGCAAATTTCAACGTTATATTTTCATCAAAACTGACCTTTTTCCCCAAAAAACTCTTCAAAAAGTAACTGAAATTGTTTTTCATCGTCCATATTTGCTAGGCAACCAAGCCTTGACTTGTTGCCATGGTTTTAAGGCATATTCGAACTTTTTTTGTCGCATTTTAGGGTATTTAGAATGTGATATATCGTGTGTATTTCACTTGTGATTCGTTAGAATAAATTAGAACAATTTATTCGTTAGAATAAATTAGAACCGCCCTGTGCGTGTCCAAAATTTCTCGCCATGAGGTATTTAGATGTATCGGTTGTTTTATTTGGGGCTTTTAAGTTGTTTAGGAACTACCGTCCCATTGGCAAAACGGCTTTACAATTTTTTATATGTTTTGCAAATTTTTTTCTCGCCTTTATGACCAGTACATTGGTTTTCTTCACGGAAAGTTTTTTGCACGGATTTAATATCCAAAACAAAATGGCGATACTATAGTCTTCATGTAAATTACAAAGGTTTCGTTTTGTCTATTCGCACTTAGAATTTACGAACAAAGAACTTAAAGCTCTGAAAGGTGAAATTGAAGGACATTCAGCAATATGCTACAAATGGCTATTGTCTTTTATTTTTCATTGTTATGTGTTTAGAACGGGGATATATATTCCCCCACCTTTTTAAAATATCCCCTTTGTTTGGAAAAAGCTAATCTTTGTAACTATGTTTGTACTTAAATAGCTGATTGACCATGATCTCTTAAAAGAAGTTGAAATAAGTCTTCTGATAAATGTATGCAGCCTAAAGATTGGTGAGGCAATGAATATCAAAAAAATTGTAAGCATGTATGAACCGCTGCCAATGCGTGGAGAATTATACGATTTACAGGTGGGAATATGTCAATGTGATCTTATATTATAATTTTATAAACGATAGATGGCTTCCCTGCATATTTTCAAATGTGTTTCAATTAGATAGAGGATTTTTTATCCCTTCAGTCTAACTTTTTTTATAATAGCAAGTGGAATTGGATGAAGCTTGGGAGGCAATTGACCAACCGGAGACACTTGTTGGACAATCTGAAGCAGAATGTGTTACTGAAGTATCCGGAACTTCTAGCAATGCTGCTAACTCTCCGACAAGTCCATTTATATACGAAGAGAGAAAGAATAGAGTTTTATTTCGTGACTACAAGTTACCAGAAAAGGTTTGCCTATTTATTTTTTAAATTCATAAACAATCCTATATACCAAAAGGACATCATGTGTCTTCACTTTATAGTGCATTACTGTGAAACTTTAGTTAGTGAAAGGTTGGCAATAGCATGGACAGCCTGCCGGGTCAATCCTGTTTTAGTCAGAGGCATGCATGCTATGTATTGTACATGTAAACAATCGCTTTGTTTTTATTTTTAACTAAGAGGCTGTTCACATGAGCCTGATTACCAAGATTTAACGAAGCGTAAAATAGACTTTGAGGAATTGAAAGTCTTTTTGAAACAGATAAATCACATGCTATTTTTAGGATGACTACACCACTACCAGAGTCGTGTTGTTTACTCAATTCAATACATCAAAATCCATTTTACGCTTCGTTAAATCTCGGTAACCGGGCTCATGTGAACAGCCCCTGAGTGCTATATTATGCAAAAATGTATATATGCGCGATGTATATATGCTATACGCGAAAATGTATATATGCTATACGCGAATGTGCAAAAAAATCAAACTATCCCAAGAAAACTGCAAACATTGAAAACGAAATTTCATTCATGCAATAGACAACAACACTGAGAATTTTGTTCTTCGCAATGATTAGCGAATCAAAACTTAAGAAAGTGTTCTTAAATTGGTTTTGGAACCCGAAGACGAAGTGCATATTGAAAGGTCAAGGAACAAAATTTTTATGTGTTCAAAATCGAGGAAAGGAAACGTTTAAATACTGAATACTGCATGCCATTTACGTACAAGCGTGATGCATGAATTACTATTTCACGCGGAGCTAGATCTACAAGTGCAAGTTCAAATTGGCGAAACTCGAAGAGTATTTTTCATACAGCAGCATAGCAATTACTTATACAACAGTAAATTAAATTACTTATAACTCTTGTTATTTTTTGTTATTTTTAGTTTTCGCCTAATGTAGAGTTGGCTGTAAAAAGTGGTTCATTAACTGGAAATCAGAGAAGTGAGTTTATACGTGACATTTGCACAAATATATCGGCAAATGGAGTATATTACTTAAACAAAATTGAAAGAAACCAAGTAGCTGCAGCCATAGTGAGCAAGTATCCTACGCTGAAAGATCCAATTGGCAGTGGTTTGGTAAGCAATTTTATTTCCCAATAACATAACCTGTAGTGATATCCTACTACTATATAGCTAATAGTTGAGCTGTTCCCTATTACTGGGGAATCCTTACGCGCGCAACGAAGAGTTAAGAGATCAAGACAATAGTTTCACCTTCACGCCCATCGACTCAAATCGTCTTAATGTACATATATTCAGTCGAATCGTAGGGACTGGCCAAGGAGATTATGACCTCGTGGTTCAGGTTGATGTTATTTGCCCCTACAAGTTGATCTTTAGTTTCTGGTCCGGGGTTACTTTCGTTAAGGACGCGGGCGGGCGGGCGGTTAGGACTATAGGACATAAATTAAAGTATGGCATTTTGTAGATTTTTGTATCCTTTAATACAGCAATTTCACGCGATTGACGAACCCCCAACACAAGAGTTCGTTGAAATAATGTTTGCTTTTAACATAGAAGGCGTGGTCACCAATAACAGTATTTTGTATTTACATCGGGTGATTTTGGAGCCATGCCGTATGTCAGAAACAAACAT